GGCCCTTCTGAGAAACTGCAGGAAAGTAAATGATGGCAGGTGTGTGTGTGTGCGCGTAGTAATCCTCTCTAATGCAGATTAAACCAAAGGAAAAAGCTTTCAATATAGGGTAGAGGCAGGAGCAAGTCTCAAATTCAGCATTTGCTACCATGAATGAGTAGCTAATTTTCTCCCTGGAAACACTGTTTAATTAGCATTCACAGGTATCCAGATATGGTCAGAAAAGTCAAGGTGGTGACCACAGCTGTGTGACTGAAACTCTGCCAGCAAAACAGGGAGAGCTTCCATCACACTGTTGTGGCCTCCACCTTGACTTTTTGACCATGCCCTGTGGGCACCCTTGGTAACATTCATTCACTAATTGTGCACACAGGCTTATCCTATGAACATTTGATCCAATAGTGCCAATAAGTGAAAAATGTTAGAAAAAGAGAAATAGATCTATTTGCAGCAAAATGTGTTTGTATTAGAGCAAATCTCACCACTGGATTTCTACTGTAGAGTGCTAAAAAGCAGAGATGTGATTTTCCACACTTTCTGGCAAATAACACAACAACGTAAGCTTAAGTGAAACATTTAAAAATCCAGAGTAACTGATCCAGCCCATAGTTTTGCCAGAATGCTGCAAAAACCCCAGATATGTCCACGCACATGATGCCATGGGAACCTTGTCTTGATCATAACTAAATAAGCAACTTCCTGGCTGCCAAGGCAAAAGAAGAACAAAAGTATACAAGATATAGGTGGGAAATGAATTAAACTGAAGGTTTTCTTATAGAAGGCTGATGGAAGAAATTTTACTGACAGGTAGAATTCTGCATCATCAGTGTAGAAGTGTTCCAACCAAGTACAGCACTTTACAATCCTTATTTAGTCTTGTGGAAGAAAAACCAAACATATGCTTAATTCTCCTGGTACAGTGCAGTTGTTCAATACATTTTCTTTTAGCTACAAGGTGCCCTGTTATCCTATCCCTGTGTTTTTCAATCTTGGTAACTTTAAGATGTGTGGACTCCATCTCCCAGAATTCCCAAGCCAGCTGGGGACTTCTAGGAGATGAAGTCGACGTGCCTTAAAGTTGCTAAGATTGAAAAACACTGCCCTGTCCAAAGGGCCTAGACAGCTAAATACATTCTCTTGCACCTGGCTTTAGCTGTAACTTTGCACATAAAGTTAGTTTTATAAGCATGCATGCATAAAGTCGCCTGACAATGTCAACTAATTGTATGAATGCTTGTGTTATTTATCTCTCTGTAGCTATTCATTTAGCCTGCAATCTTATACATACTCACCTGGAATTTAGTCCCATTGAATGGCTAAATAAGATGCCTAGGATTATGCTGCTAATTATTTTCTGTGATGGAAATATGTGTCTAATAAAGTTAGAATGGTTTTCCCCACCCCCATTTCAAAGTAAGAAGTGGCAAATCCATTTTTTTTAAAGTGTTTTTAGTTTTGTAAACCCTATGTTAGAATTCCATCTCTGACTTTAGTATAATGGAGTGCATTTCTGTTGCTAGGTAATCTGTACAGCAGACAGATTGAAATTGATGGAGAGATGTTTGCAATTCAAGTACAAGATACACCTGGAGTACAGGTGGGTGTTTCCTTTCCATTCTATAATTTAAAAGGGAGCCTCATTGTTACTCACTTTCAAGACCAGGGTTGTACATGTTTGCTGAGAAGCAGACCAGCTTTGGCAGTGGAGTCGTTGAAAATTCTTTTTGTTGCTAGGAATGATTGTAAACAGCCAATGCTTGATAAATGGACTGTATATAGTCTCCTGACAGTAAAAGAAAACAACCCGCCATTTCAATTAAACTTTTGTCCACTTGAAAACACAGCACTCTTGTTTAAGAAGGCTGCCTTTCTAAATAAAACAGAAATGTGGCTAATGGGTAAAGAGTTGTTTCTTGGCAAATTAAGAAACATTTTATTTCTATTTCCCTAGCAAAGTACACTAGAAATATTTTCATATTTTATTGCTGCAGCCCAATCAAGATTGGTTTAATAAACACATAACTGAAACAAAAAGTCACAGCACCAGCAGCTGTACTCATTAACATTTCTTTGGAGTGGATTTTATATTATGGAAAGTTTAAATGGATAGACATGTGTAAGGTCAAAATTTGCCTTTTTGAACTGGGCAAGTCTCCAACTCTAAATGTTTCCAGCTCATACCTTTGTTCTCCTCCCCCTCCATTCCCGACTTGCTGTCTAGCCAGTTAATTTCCCATTCTTTGGCACCACAAATTATTTTACTTTACATAAAGTTATGTGGGACGGTTTTCCACTTGAATATGGCAAACTTCAGAATAACCTAGTTTAGCCTGAGTTTTTGTTTGTTCAATCAACAGGAGGGAGAGAGGAGATTAAACTTTTTGGGGGGGATAATGAGCAGGGACAGTGTTAACTCATAGAAGTAAAATTCAGTATAGGCTGTACCCAAAGCTCTGTAGCTTTCATTTCATCCTTTGCAGTCAAATAATTTTCTCATTCCCCCACTTTTTTTTTTTTTTTTTTACAGATGCACAGACATAGCCTGGATTGTAATGAACAGCTGAACAAGTGCCTTCGTTGGGCGGATGCAGTTGTAATTGTCTTTTCGATTACAGATTATAAAAGCTATGAACTCCTTGGCCACTTCCACCAGCACATACGGCAGGTGCACCCAAGAAATCGATTGCCTGTAGTTATTGTAGCAAACAAAGCAGACCTGCTCCATATTAAAGAGGTGGAACCTCAACATGGACTTCAGCTGGCCAGCATGTTGGGCTGTAATTTCTATGAAGTGTCTGTCAGTGAGAACTACAAAGAGGTCTTCTGTGCCTTCCACAGCTTGTGCAAAGAAGTCAGTAAGCAACAAACAACAGGCACCCCAGAAAAGCGGAGAAGTTCTCTCATTCCAAGGCCAAAGTCACCCAACATGCAAGACCTGAAGAGAAGGTTTAAGCAAGCCTTGTCTGCCAAAGTGAGAACTGTTACCTCTGTCTGAGAGGTTAAACTGGATGGAAGAAGGGTTTCCCTGCCTCCTCTTTTCAGCAAATAGTCCATTTGTTCCACTTCTGGAACATTTTGCTGGTACCACAGCAACCAAAGCAAGATCAAAGAGAGAGAGAGAGAGAGAAAGTGTACATGTTCAGGTGATATTTGAATAGTTGTGCGAATGAAGCATTGTGTAATGGAGGAACTCCACCAAAACCTGAATAAGTTCCTAAAGAAGGGATATGCCATGTACTTTCATCCTGAAAGGAGAACATTTGAATACATCCAAAACATAGCCATGTTGTGTGATGGAATTAGGATGGCTTAGTATGCTATCCTGTCACTTTAACTGTAGAAGAAGCCAAGGGGAAAATACTCAGAATGCCATCTTCTTAATTGGAAACAGATATTCTTATGCTATTGAATTAAGATTGGTTTCTTTTGTAAAGCTCACTAGAGCCTTTGATTTCTTAATTCAGTTCATGAGGTACAAGTATCTCTGTTCCAACAGAGCA